CTCTTACACTCTCTAACCCTCTCTTACTCTCTCTTACCCTCTCTTACCCTCTCTTACTCTCTTTTACCCTCTCTTACCCTCTCTTACTCTCTCTTACTCTCTCTTACCCTCTCTTACCCTCTCTTACTCTCTCTTACCCTTTCTTACCCTCTCTTACTCTCTCTTACCCTCTCTTACACTCTCTTACCCTCTCTTACCCTCTCTTACTCTCTCTTACCCTCTCTTACTCTCTCTTACCCTCTCTTACTCTCTCTTACACTCTCTGACCCTCTCTTACCCTCTCTTACTCTCTCTTACCCTCTCTTACTCTCTCTTACACTCTCTACCACTCTCTTACTCTCTCTTACCCTCTCTTACCCTCTCTTACTCTCTCTTACTCTCTCTTACACTCTCTTACCCTCTCTTACTCCTCTTACCAACTCTACCACTCAAGTTCAAGTTCAAATTTGCTTTATTGACATGACAAATGTACATTTGTATTGTCAAAGCACAACAAAAAATGATCTATATATTAAAAGTTAATAAAGAAAAATATATATATAAAAAAATAATAATAAAAAAACAAAATACAAACCAAGATTAATATATGATAATGTAATAATTAAGAACAGAAAGTGTTAATCATAAATTAATAATATAAAAGTACATGTAATAATAAAACAAAACCTATTGAATATGTGTGTAGTTTATAATAGAGAAGAGAAAAGAAAATGTTAATAATAAAATATAGGGAAAAGAAAAATCTATATATATAAAAAAGGACATCTATATTACATATGTACATATATAACTGTGAGTAAAGGCTGTGGTGTGGTGGTCACTCACTGTCCCGGAGTGTATGGCACTCGTATACATATCTGGCTGCAGTGGACGCTGCTGTACCCTCTCCTAATATAATCGCTAATTTATCTGTATCTCCCAACGTCCTGAAGTTGTTTATCTGTTTTTCAAATTGGTTAAAATATTTATTTCTAATAGATTCATATTTTGGGCAGTTCAGTAGGAAGTGCACCTCTGTCTCTACCTCACCTGTCCTGCAGTGACCACATATTCTCTCCTCTCTCGCTAGCCAGGACTTTTTAAACCTGCCTCTCTCGATGGCCAGGCTGTGGTCACTGAGTCTGTGTTTGGTGAGGATCCGTCTCTGCTTCATATCTTGGACAGTAACAAGATATTCAGCCAATCTATATTCCTGTTTTAGGGCCAGAAAGCAGTTCAGTCTGTTTTGTGAGTGAATTTGATGTTTCCAATGTTCCAGGTAGGTATTTTTGCGTTGTTTAATAATTTGGTTTATAATATTTATAATATAAATATTAATAATATTTATTTATAATTTTATAATACTCTCTCTTACTCTCTCTTACCCTCTCTTACTCCCTCTTACCCTCTCTTACACTCTACAATACGCTAGACTACACTACTCTACAATACTCTGCTCTAGCCTTTACTACTCTACAACATTCTACACTAGACTACACTACTCTATACTAAACTATACTCTGTAATACTTTACACTAGATTACACTACTTTACAGTTCTCTACACTGGACTAGACTACTCTACAATACTCTATGCTAGACTACACTACTCTACACTAGACTTTACAACTCTGCAATACTCTACATTAGACAACACTACACTGCTATACTCTACACTAGACTACACTACTCTACAATACTCAACAATGGACTATGCCACTCTACAATATTCTATGCTGGACTACTCTATGATATTGTACACTAGACTACACTATCCTACAATACTCTACACTAGACTATACTACTCTACACTAGACTATACTACTCTACAATACTCTACACTAGACTATACTACTCTACAATACTCTACACTAGACTATGATACAATACACTATTCCACACCACTCTACACTAGACTATACTATTCGGCAATACTCTAAACTAGACTACACTACTATAAAATACTCTATACTGCACTATACTACACTACTTTGCAACACTATACACTAGACTATACTATGCTACAGTACTCTCCAGTACTCTGCACCACTATTACTAAATACTACACTATTATGCACTCTGCTTTGTTACTATAAAATAATCTATACCTATACCACTGCTCTACACCAGACTACACTACAATACTCTACACCATACTATACCACTCTACAATAGTCTACACTAGACTACACTACAATACATTAGACATACTACTCTGCAATTCTCTGTTAGATTACACTACTGTACAATACTCTATGCTAGACTACACTACTCAACAATACTCTACTCCAGACTTTACTACTCTACAACATTTTATGCTAGACTATGCTACTCTATACTGTAGTATACTAGACTATACTACTCTGCAATATGCTAGAGTACACTACTTTGCAATACTCTACATTAGACTACACTACTCTGCAGTTCTCAAGACTACAGTACTCTACGCTAGACTATACTACTCTACAATACTTTACGATATACTACACTGCAACACTGTACTAGACTATACTACTCTGCAATACTCTGCACTAAACAACACTACTCTGCAATACTCTACACCAGTCAACATTACTCTTCACTACACTATGCTACCGTACTTTCCAATGCTCTACACTACACCATGCTACAGCCCACTCCCATACAGTACAGTATGCTACACTCTATAATATTCGACACCTATGATCTGCTACTCCA